ATGTATTTTATCAAGCAACTGGATATAAAGGAAGAAATTTACAATTAATTTAGGTAGTATTCAGTTTAAATAGTCATGTGTAAGTATTTGTGTATGACACTTCTGTATATTTTATAATATTTAAGTGTCCAATGTGTGAAACATTAGTAGAGTACCAATGCTGAATGAAAAGCAAACGATTGTTACTGTCCATTAATGCAGTACACACACACATACAGTACAAACACAAACACACACACACACACACACACACACACATTATAAATGGCAGCTGTCTGTTAATATGTACGACTCGCTTATGTGTGTATTATGATTTTTCCAAATGGATTTTGATGCTTTTGCAATGCTGTTCATCACACATCATTGCCAATAAAACTAATGAAACAGCAAAGCGTCACAGATTGACGATCAAGGCACTGGCACTCGTCTCTTGTTCAGGTAACTAGCAGTGTCAGTATATAAAACTAATAAGGCTTGTTAATGTGTGCTGCACATTTCACAAAAAGACGCCATAAATTTGAGAGAGGCTGCTGCTCTTTGTCTTTCCTCTCTTCCATCTCCGCTCCCCATCTGTTTAATGTTAGCTCATAAACAGACGGGTGCAAATCCAGGCCTCGGGAGAAACATTTAATAAAAGTGAAATACGGAAGGAAGAAGAGCGTCTGGAAATACACTCTCTCAGCTGTTTGTCATGGATGGAGGAGCGAGAAAATAAAGAGGTGCAAATGTTTAGTAAATCTCCATAGAGAGCAATTAAATGTTCAACCCCGTGCATGTCTATTAACAGCATACAGTAACATTTCTATTCCTTGGAGAACTGCATGTGAGCGTTTCTGTTTGGGTTTTTGTGGTCATAAAATGCTAAGTCAGGTCAGGAAATCAAGAAGTAAGCACTTTCACATTTTTCTCAAACAACATTAATTTACAGAGTCAGAGAAAATCTGATCTGCTCTTTATAGAGTAGCAACAGTGGTATCTGTGACATTTCAAATGAATGTCCGTTTTGCTGGTTTGTAGATATTGATTAAAATCAGTGATACACGATTTGGTCTGTCGATAAAAGCTTTCACATTTAAGCGTCAGACCGCATGTGCTAGGTCCTTTGGATTAAAAATCTTCTGGTGCACAGGAAGTGAAATATTGTGTGTTTAGAATAAATAGAAGAAGAGCTGTGTATGAGCAGCAATAAGGACCCAACAGATAAACAGAAGCTCATAGTAGAATAATTTGTGACAATTGTGGGAAACTGCAGGCATTTTAAATGTAAAGTAAGACAGACAAAAATACTGTAATACCTCAGTAAACCGATTAGTCTGATCACAGCAATAGTTTAGTTAATAAATCGATTAATACAGTAGGATTTGTCCATAGCAGCCACACACTTCTACGCATTCTCGTCCCTCCATTCAAGGAGGCCTGTTTGACCTTGGTATATTAACAGATTCCTTGAAGGAAAAATAATTTATTTCCACTTTTAGAAACTTCCAATTAGAGAAGAAATCCAGGAGTCACATAGTGATTAATTAATTCACTCAGTGTTCCCATTTAATTCAGACATGACAGTGATTGCCAGGCTAAAAATAAATCTGCCACTACAAAATGGATTCCCTAAGGAAATGTTAAAGACATGGCAGAAATACTGTTTATATAGACATGCAGTTATTTTTTGTTACACATTGTTTTGCTGCGGAGGTCAATTTTCCATGTAGCTGTGGGTGTAATGTTTTTGCTCTCTAGGAAGTCGCCTTTCTTCAAATGTCAGCCTTATTTCAAAGGTCACTGAATGTCTTTTCATTGTTGGTCAATAATAACACCTTCGATCCAGGCTTTGTGGCCTTGAATGTCAGTGAAACCTTTCTTTCTGAAACCTTTAATTTACTCTATTTATCGAACATCAGCCAGCTCTTTCAACTCTGGGTGACAGTATTTCCCCTAAAATTCGATTCTGTACCACAGTGTACGTATGAAAATATTAATGGATAATACCTCTAGCTGTATTGAATGACCATAGTGTTGAAACATTGTCTCTCATGATAGGGTGTAACTGACTTGACTTAACTTGAAATACATAAAGGTCCACACTGTACTATGCAGTATATGTGCATGGTATCTGTATGTATGCATGGTATTTGTTTACAGACTTGCTGTTTTGGTATACAAAACTGCCACCTGGTGGTATCTGAGCTGTGCTGCTCTTGTTAAACCCTACACTGAGGCAGTGGTTGTCAGCATGGGCTCCGGGTGGCCCCTGTAGTCCTCAGGGAAGTCCATTTATACCAGCAAATAGTTTAAATTTTTCTATTATTCCCCTCCTGAGAGAGTTAGAGGAATGGATACATAAGGATTGCTTAAATTGAGGTGTCACTAACTAGAAACAGAAATGTAGAAGTCCAAACTTGTTCCAAATTAAAGTCTTATTAAATAGTAACATAAAGTCTCACAAGAACATATTTTCATTCATTAAAAATGTTTGGAGGCTTATGTCCTGCATGTCACAGCATGATGTTCCGTCTGAGCTGTGTGTAATCTGCAGCTACACTGGTAGATTTGGATCTGCCTCCTTGTGGACAAAAAAAAGAAACACTACTTAAGAAAAATATGCCTGCCAGGCTTTAACCAATGTGGTTTTCATATGATTATACAAGTACAGCTACTTGCTCACATTCAGACGACATGCTGCTAATGATAACACATAATCATTCAAGTTATAGATAAAAATACAGTGCTATTATTTAACAGAGAATACAATCAAACATTTTATGAAGCAATTATACGAACACATTTCACACATATAAAACACAAAAGATGTGAGAGATTTATGACATTTGGATATTGAGTATAAAATCTACCAAAATAAATTTGAGTTGTGTTTTGTATTTTTGCAGTACTATATAACATAACCTGCCAGGGCTGGACTTGGACAAAAAAATCGGCCTGGGCATTTTTGGTCCAGGCAGCCCACCACAGTTGGTCAGACACTCCTCACTAATACACCATCCTTGAAGTCCCCTTAAATATGTGTACCTACTGTTATATTCCCCAAAACCACTATAAAGCTGCATAGTAAAGTGCTGTGAATAAGTGAACCAGTGTACTCATTCGCATTTTACTGACTCCCTGGTGAAAAGAGGTGGAGTACACAAATTATACTCAAGTAGAAGTACAAGTAATCAAAGAAAAACACCCTGCTAGAACAGTTACAGTATCATTTCAAGTCATTATTAAGTCCAGAATTCCCTGCAAAGCGGTACAGTTTCAACAAAAACACAGTGGGGAAAAAACAAATAGCTGTTTATTCAATTATGGAGAGGAAGAAAATAAACAAAGGACAACATTGTTGCCTGTAAATGAAAATGTTTTTCTTAATACATACATAAGTGTTCGTTAATTTTAACACAGTATGCTACAGGTGTTGTGTAATTAGGCCACATTACACATTTGTAGCCTCTATCAAGGTAACCCTTAGCCTAATAATCTTAATAATTTTATCACGATACATATAGACCTAGGTCACTCACAGCAGTATGGGCTTAGCTAACGCGATGCTCATGAAATATCATCACCTAGTCAGCCATTAGAATAGTTAGCCAAAGTTGCGTCTGCGTTAGGGAACTGTGCTAGCTACCAAAACTATGCCAAATAGCTTATGCTGTGCTATTTGACACTGACTAAGTGATTACCAGCAGTAGGTGATGGTCTCACTTCGTCATCATCATCATCAGCCTCCCTGCAAGTCCCTGTTAAGCTACTCCATGCTTACAGCTTCACCTACACTCTCCTCCTGCTCACTGTGTATCCCTCGGTCCTGTCATGGTCACTCTGTCCCTCTGCTACGCTGTCACATGCCTCCTCCTCTGCCAGGCAATGGCCATAGCTATCCATAGCTCCTTCAAGTGCCTATGCCTGCACATTATCAGGTACTGCAGCATATCTTGAAGCTACTGCAGCTCCGGTAAGAAACATATCGGTTATTTTGGCACATTTTTTGGCATCAAGATTTCTTTTTGAGCTTCTCCTCCTTCACCTCACTTGTACTTTGTTTCCATTCTGACACCTTGAACCGTCCACAGATTTTTGGCTCTGAACCACGCTTCTGACACAGGGAACAGAGGGGTAGAGATGGAGGGAGTGCGTTGTCCCACCATGCAAATGCCCAATATGCCAGATTAACAGTCCAGCCCTATAACCCACATTATCATAATAATCCTCCAGTTTGTTCAAGAATGATAATGTGTATGAACAATCATTTTCAAAGCATTTTGTTGTGTCACGTGTGTGTTGAAGATAAATCTACAAATAAAAACCTCATTAAAAAAGGTTTGTCATGTTTTGTTAAACCCCTCCATGTTTTAAAAAACAGAATATGAATTATACCATATAGTTAAAATTTATTTGTGTGTTGTAAAAGGGGTTGCTTGTGGTGATGAACTCACAGAGAATTAATACCAACTTTACAGTTCCTTTCAGCTCATTGCAGCATTTTAGCCTCTTATCTCCTTGTTTTGGTTTCAACCTATTTTCCAGCAGTAGCAGGCAACGGTTTTCAGAGAATAGGCTGTGATAAATCCACTGTAAGCTATCAGTTAGCTACTTGCTGGTGAAGCATTTGCAGCTAAAGAGACAGACATTTTTCTCAGGGGTTTGTGGAGACCAAAACAGAGCTGAAAGGAGAGTTGGACATTGGACATTTTGCAAGAAAACAAAAACATAACTCCACATAAATGCTAATGCTGCTCTGAGTCTGCTGGATGTGTAAATAGGTATCTTATTGCTAACATGTTTTCATGTAACAACTTTATAAGAGGATAATATGTCATTGTTGTGTTTAGAGCTGGTTCTTCTCCCCTGACCAAAAGCTAATATTGTCCCACATTTAGAGTCTTGTTTTTATCTGTGTATGTTCTGGTCTCTATCTGAGTCTATACCAGACTTTCCTGTGTACTCATGGTGTGACTGGATGACCACTGAAGGCTGCTGTTTTTGCTATTTGTCTCATTTAGGGCCATGCTGAGTGACATTGGAGACTATGTAGGTACAGACATTCAAATATCCTGGTTACCTAATCTGGATGAATTAATGAAGGGCTATGCCAGAAATTTTCGCCCTGGGATAGGAGGTGAGTATGAGATCTACTGCTCGTGGCGTTGGGTTGCATTTCACCCCCTCACATTTACAGCCATCCTTAGCATCACAAAAATCAAGTTACTGCAAGATGGATGTTCACATTTCATTTCCCAATTCCATTATCTTTAGAGGTCTCTTTGTTTTTTGTTTGTTTTTGCACGACATTAGAACAAAACTGTATTTACCTTGTAAATACTTGCTTTGACTCCTCCATAAGGTGAATCATCAAAGGACACATTTAGGTGAAGAGAAGCTTTGCTGAAGGGATTATTAATGCATTTGCCCTTCAAGGGCAAGAGGGATATGGGTGGTGCAAACAATAAGCACCACTCTAGAGACTTTGCTAAGAATGGCTGCAAAATGTGAAACATCCAATGACCACAGCGATAGATTTCTCAATCTCACAGCTTAACTCAGCTGAGCAAAGGTGAAAATGTGGAGCAGGAGCACCACTATCACCACACACACTGCCCTGTGCACTGCACGCCTACACAGACCATCATAACACAGCATCATGTGGTGGCTGCATTCCTTGATGTACCATTACAATGACCACTGAGGAATCATGTCTGTTATTTAGAGCAATTCCCCTCATTCAACTCACATCCCATAGCCTTTTAGTGTAAAGTTTGTTAAACAGCAAATACATATGTACAATAACATTAATTAAAAAAAGGATTCATAACAATGTTTTGCATCTCGGAAACAACTTCTTAGAGGCACAAATGTAACTTTTCGCTCACAAAAAATTGTTGAATTGTTGTCATTGTTAAATTTTTTATTTTTTCCACAATCCAAGATAATCAGCGTGAGCAAGGGGATGTACAAAAACATAGTTGGAAATTAAAATACAAGCAATTTAATTTATTGGGAGACATGCATAAGAAACATGTTATATGGACCTATTTTACCAACCTTGCTGTAGGGAACATAAAATCAAAAATCCAAAAATGCACACAATTTCCAAACAAATCATTTGTTTGGAAATTGCATTTTGGAAAAGATTTTTACATTACATTAATTTACATTACATTCACTTTGCTGTTGCTTTTGTCCAAAGCAACTTGCACCGTTAAATTCCATGCCTACCAAACAACTATGACTCTGTTACGTGAGACAGTCCCTAGAGGTTTTGCAAAAATTTCGAAACATTAATTTGAAAATAAGGTATCTATTACAAATGTATTATTAATCTGTACACTTCCACTGGAGGATTTTTAGTAAAAAATGCTTGTTATTGCATCACCTTTAAACGGTCTCCTGCTGACCTTGGTGTATAATAAACACCCTTCACACTAATTGTTAATAAAAATGTGAATATGATTATCTAGAAGTTGTTGTGGGAAGGTGTTGAATTGTGGGGAATGGTAATGTATGATTCCTTAATGTTCAGTATAAATAGCCTTTCTGTTCTGCATCAGTGAGCTCCCCCTTAGTTTCTGCCCTCTAGCATCTGATCACAGAGGCACACTCCATGCTAATCATATGGCAAACTGTTGAGTGAAAATGCTACAGTGTGTGTGTGTGTGTGTGTGCGTGTGTGTGTGTGTGTGTGTGTGTGTGTGTGTGTGTGTGTGCATGTTGGCAGAAGCTCACTCTGTGCGAGTCCATGAAAGCCCACTGCTGTTTATGAATGCCCACAGTGCGATGTGCCACTTAGCATGGTTAAACTGGATAATTCTTAATCTCTATGCACTGTTGGAGTGTTTGAGACGTGGGAGGATGTTAGGTGGGAGGGAAACAGATGGGTGTCGGAGTGAGGAGTGAGAGGCACTGATGGAGTCAGAATGAGCAGAGAAGGTGTGTGGGTGTGTTTGAATTGGGGAGGGGGCAGGTTTGCTTTCTTTTCTCACTTCTCCCCTTGCAGGTCCACCAGTGAATGTGGCCATGGCTATTGAAGTGGCCAGCATTGACCACATCTCTGAAGCTAACATGGTAAAGTACACAGCCACTTTCTCCTTCCTTCTACAGTGAGATTCTCCATCATCCCGCAATTTAGCTATTGCGGCAAAGATCAAAGATTTGCTATTTGCATAATCCTGATTTATCCCACTTGAGGGTTTGAAAGTACTCAGTGTGAACATGTGTGACACATTGGCTGAGTTGTTAGATAATGTGATGTTTTCACGGATTTTGTAAAGTAGGAACAAAATCTAATGAAAATATTCTCATTATGTATGTGGCCCTGATTCTTTTCCAAACAAATAAATTTTTCCTTCTGTGTTGAACAGTTGAAAAACCACCTACAATAAGAATTCCAAAAAAGGCTTGTCCAAAGCTGAAAAACAAGGGTCACAAATAGTTTGGGCACAAATACACAGTAGAATTTTAATTCACACCAAACATGCTTCCATATTGGTGTCAAATACTATGAACTGGAACCGCTTTAGAAGTTACAACTTTTTGATATACAGTATGGTTTAAAATGTGTGTTTTTGTGCGATTAGGCGCCTCTTCTGTTTCAGAGTATAATTAACTGCTATCATAAATAAGGACAGGCATACCAATGTGATATCACGGAATGGTGTATAAATAGCACGCCACTTTTAACATTTCGGTGTGCCATGTCAGGTTTTTGTGTGTCATTTCACGCTGTTCAGTCCCTATAGACCTAAGCAAAACTAAGAAGGTTAACCCTAACTGCGCAGCAGAAGGGTTAAACCGGTCGACATGCATATATAATTAATGATGGTTAGGTTAGCAGTAATGTACATCGGTGGGGATGTCAATGCTAGCATCGTTAGCTTGCTAAATAGCTAGCTACTTAAACTTTAACGTAGCTAACGTTGTCTAGCTAATGGTAGCATGGTAACTTACGTAACGTAACCATGAATGTAACGTAACGTAGTAGCTAACGCTAACGCTATGTAGCTAAAGTAGCTAACGTTACCACGATGTAGAATGGTAACTTAGGTAACGTAATGTAAATAAAAACAAAAAACTACTGTTGTGTAATTATTGTTTCACTTGGGAACCGAACACTGGTCTCCTGGTTTTAGGACCAACTGACTATCCAACAAATTGGCATGTTATTCATATGCCTTTTTATGATTACATTAGGCTACTTACGACCAAAAACTAGCAAGTCGCTTACTTTGCTTACACAGCTAAACATCAAGCAAGTGCCAAAATACATAGCAATATTACTCAGTAGTCCAACTGTGTACACAGAAACAATATCAGTTCGGCGTCTGCCTTGCAGGTATTTCTTTCACAAACCTCTTGCCAACATCTGGAAGCCTCTTGCTTAGTGTCTCTCTTTTTCTCTACTTAGCATCCTATGTCAACTGCTAGACAGCAGCCGATGCAAGAGCACTTACAGTAATATTATGGAGGTGTAAGTGTGTTATCTAGCATGTTTGCTAACATCAACTCAAGATTTATAGCAAGTCGCTAAACCTCTGTCTGTCAAACCTCTGGCTGATTTTGCTCAAGTCGACAACTTTGCTAACAGAGTCAAACATAAGCAAGCACAGCAACACAAAACATAGCAAGTCAGCCAAAAAGTTATAAGTCTTTTATTCTTGCATCCTTTCAGCTCTTTTAGCTCATGCCATGAGTAAAAGCCAGTCTGATATTCTCTTTTTCTCATCCTCGCTTCCTCCAACATCTTCTTTGGTCTCTTTGCAGCCTCTGCCATGATGTCCATACTAAGAATACCGAGCTAGCTTCTTCCAAAGAACTTATATTGTACTTTATATACTTTTTGCTGCTGAAGAGTCATGTTGGTGCATTATGCAAAAAAAAGCATTATGCTGTTGTCGTGAAAGGTTTCATGCACATGATTTCAATGTTAAATAGAGACAGAGATGCCATCAAAATTATTTTGAAGCTGTAAATCAAGATAAAATTACTTCATAATGTTGCTTTAAGCTGTGAAACAATATCAGAGTAAAATAACAAAAAAATATTAAAATAAAAGAAATACACAATTGGAAAAAAAATATGGTGAAGATTTTACACAGTTCAGATAATTAACTTTAAATCATGTATTTATGAGATCTCCTGTTGAGAACTAAAATAAACTGATTCCAATTTGTGCTCCCAAGTGATATCGTGACTTTCTGTGGGTCAAGCCCCAAAAACACTGAAGACATTATTTCTAATGGTTTCACAGGCAAAGCAGTATATTCCTCATAACTAAGCTGATTTTCATGTGTAATTGCGGACTTCAGTCTATCTGATATTGAACCACACAACCTATGTCTGTGTCTGTGTGTTTGCATGTGTGTTATTCCTGGCAGGAATACACCATGACCGTATTCCTGCGGCAGAGCTGGCACGATGACCGCCTGTCCTACAATCACACCAATAAGACACTGGGGTTGGACAGTCGATTCGTGGACAAGCTATGGCTTCCCGACACCTTCATCGTCAATGCCAAATCTGCTTGGTTCCACGATGTCACCGTGGAGAACAAGTTGATCCGCCTGCAGCCCAATGGAGTCATTCTGTACAGCAGCCGGTATGAGAAAACTAATTGTTGTCTTCACTAATCAGACTCATACAGTCAGAAAACGCAGCTGGGTGTTGAACCGTTTCTTCGACATGACAAAGTTCTTACTAGTTTCAGATTTTCTATGATTTTTTAAACTCATGCCGCCAGAAACATCAGACATTTGAGGGCACAGACATCTGTTATTTGAAAATCCTACCATGAGAGTAAACAGTTTTCTCTGTGGTAACTTCATAAGCTTAAAAAATCTTTGATATGGTCTGACATGCTTGTACATAGCTGATGTAAAAAGATAGGGGAGATAGGGGAATATGGAAAGTTGAAGGTAGAGGTAAAGTGGATCGAGGTGAATAATCAAAAGCGCTAAATTGGGATTTACTGTCAGTATGTCTGCAGTCTATGTAGACACACACGCGCACACACACACACACACACACACACACACACACACCACTATGATGGTGTACATTGAGTTTTGATCAACTGGGCTGTTTTGTTCCCAGAATAACTTCGACAGTGGCGTGTGATATGGACCTGACCAAGTATCCCATGGATGAACAGGAGTGTATGCTGGACCTGGAAAGCTGTAAGTTGCGATTCACATAACATAATTTTCCTCCTTCACACATGCTAAGGAAAATTTTGCTTTTTCGATTTCTCTAGATGTGTGTTCATGCCAAAGTAAAGTGACATCTAGGAAAAGTTGCAATGTTATAAGCTTCCTCCATTCCTCAGTGCTAAGATAAAAATGCGAGAAACCCTTACATGCAAGTTGGACTGATAAAATGTTTTTTTCATTCTAGACGGTTACTCCTCAGAGGACATTGTGTATCACTGGTCAGACAGTCAGAAACACATCCATGGCCTTGACAAACTGGAGCTCTCCCAGTTCACAATCACAGACTATCGGTTTGTAACTGAGATGATGAACTTCAAATCTGGTGAGTATCCATCTTGTTTTCATCTGTTTTTTCTGTTAATGTTAGTGCCAGCACAGCCAGTTTAAAGATCCCTTGCATGGTCCTTGAGTGTTTTATGTATTATGTACTATTTTGAGTTTTTCGACTTGTTTTGCCTCTTGTGTTGGAAAACTCTGCACATTCTTTTTGAAGCAAGATTTTGTTTTTACTGTAGGCACTGCAGTGGTTATATTCTATGCATAGAAGGAATGGATCAAGTCAGGCTTGCTACCATCACACTACAGAGCCAGGCATGAGGTTTAGGAGATGATACGAGTTGCTGCTGGGAAAATGCAGTTTGAAATACTACTTTATGATTTACATCTTGAAGCTTTGTCACCAGGGGCACATGTGAGCAGACAGACACAATGTCTGTGAAGAACAATTGGATATTTTCTTTAGTATAATTAGCTTCTTCAGTAAAGCAATTAAACACGGTGTCTGCTTTCTGCTTTCCAGCGGGACGATTTCCAAGGCTCAGTCTTCGCTTCGAGCTGAGACGAAATCGAGGTGTCTATATCATCCAGTCATACATGCCATCGATATTACTGGTTGCCATGTCCTGGGTGTCCTTTTGGATCAGCCAATCAGCAGTCCCTGCTCGTGTATCCTTAGGTTGGTATTAGTTTGATGGAGTCTGTTTGTCTTCTAAAATTACATTCTAAAAGGGGAAACTTGAATCAAAGTTGGTGTTCATTCATCTGCAGAAAGGTTGAACCATGTTGCTAAAGCAGATATTGACCTTTCAGTAAAAAGACCACTAGACTAACAAATCTAAAGTCCTGAGTAGATGAATGAACTGAATCATACCAAACCATACAGACAATTTTGCTATTCTTAGGGCCTCACCAGTATTGGGGCTACATAAGTAAAGCTCTTCCTGGTGGTGCCACTAGTGGAAAGACAAAATGGTTTATTCTTTTGGTATTTTTAGTAAACAGTTGTAGTTTGGCAATTTGGCAGTTAGATAATAATAGATCTTGTAGAAAGTAGACATTTTGTCCCGAGGGTGCTGCTGGAGAAAGTATCATTAAATGTCCAAAATGGAAAAAGTTCATCCTCTGCAGAGCATGAAATCCTCAGTAAATGTTATGTCAATATGCCCTTTAGACACTGATATTTAATGTGTAGGAGTGGAAATCTGGGCTCTACGTCAGGCCAGATCTATTGAAATTTAGTGTCACCAAGGCTACTAGCAGAAAAAGCCATTAGCCAGCCAGCCAATTCATGGCTTCAGACGTTAATATTAACTTCTGCTAAAAATTACAATAAATGTTTAATTAATACTGGGTTGCTAAAGACAACATATAGGCTATCATTTCACAGTCTGTGTGGTCTGGTTTACTAGAGTCTGCAGCCATGCTAGCTGTACTTAGGCACAGTGGTGCTTTCAGCAAACACCAGTATGCTAACATACAAACAATGAGAATGCCAAAATGCTATTTTGCAGATATAAACTTTACCATTTTCAACCATCTTAGTCTATCATGTTAGCATGCTACAAATTGTTAAAGGGCCTATATGTAGTCTTCAGCCTTAATGCTCATTTTGATTTTTATTCCCAGATCCCATTTTTTTTGTTTGACAGTTCACATTATTGCTTAAATGTGGCCCATATCAGACTCCAGTACGAACTGTCGGCGGCCTGAAAGTGAGCTGCATTTGCAGAAGAAGGGAGGGTTAGCAGGCGAGCTAATGTTATCTAACATGAGCAAACTAAAGCACAAAATCACAATATATTTGTTGTGTATGTTAGTTGACTGATAAGTCAAAATGCAATAAATAAACACTAAACACAGTACAACAAGTACAACTGATGCTGATGGGAATGGTAGTTTTGCAAGTCCTTAGTTATAAACCAAAGTATTTGACAAATTAACTTTTGGCGCTATATGAAAAGTCGATCCACAAACAATACTGAGAGACATGAATGTCTATACAAAATTTAATGGGTTTCCGTCCAACAGTTGCCCTCAAAAGCACGAATGTCAGGAATCACTTAAGTCATTAGGGTTCATCCTCTGGGAACCATGAATATTTGCATATCCACATGGCCATGCTGCAATCATGGGTAAAAACCCACAGAACACTAATCTGTACTTTGTGCCTGTGTTCTTTCCACAGGGATCACAACTGTTCTCACCATGACCACACTAATGGTAAGCGCCCGCTCCTCCCTGCCTCGAGCATCAGCCATCAAGGCGTTAGACGTCTACTTCTGGATCTGTTACGTGTTTGTGTTTGCGGCACTCATTGAGTACGCCTTCGCTCACTACAACGCTGACTACCGACTCAAAGAGAAGGCCAAAGTGAAGGCCAACAAGCTCAGCTCTGAGGTGAGGAAATCATTCCCATCATGTACTCTCATCAGTAGACAACAATGTAGAGCTTCAGGGGAGTGTTGTGAGTAATGAGCATGCCTTTCAAACACAGACCTGGGCCAGGCTTCAAACCCCAGTGTTGACAAGCATCCATCCCACTGACCTTCAGCAAGACAATGAATCTCCATAGAGCATAATTGGAAAATAGCAAACTCCCCTTCAGGGAGTAATAGCAGTTCTCATCATACTGTCTCTTTCCTTTGCTGTTGATATACATTTTACTGAGGTGTACCTTCAGAATTTAACATATACACAAAATTAAAACAATAAACACAATATCAAGCAAAAACTGGCAATATGCTGACAACACAAGAAAACTAAGGACATGAAAAGATGGTTAAGGTCAGTAAAAATACAATGACTATAAAAACTTACCAATGTCGAAGCAACATCACAAGATATAATAAACCATAGTTTCCTTTATAATCAAGACTCTGCTTTGCTAGGAGTAGTTCTAAGCAGTTCTGGATTCATCATCAAAATTTCTAATGTTTTTTAAAAATATGCCAAAGTTCCCAGGGCTGAATATTTTTATTGCAAAAACACAGAAAGTTGAAAATGCCATGTCTTTATATATATATATAAAAGCACAAATAAAAAGTACTCTCTGGTAAATTAAAATGAGTGAAAAGTGTGTCACTGGTATATAGTAAATTAATAATAAAGGAGTGGAGGATGTCATAATAGATCATTGTTAGAGATATATCACATGCCCTATTTAGCGTGTACGAGCTATTACCATCAGGTAGATGGTACAGGATGCCAACCAGGCACGCAGATCATTTGTGCCTACCAGTATTGCATTGTCTAACAAACATTGTCTAACATAACTTAACCTCTGGGTATGAGGATTCTGCACCTTATTATAATATGTAGAGCACTCTGGTGATGTTTTGTGCTGGTATCGTAGTTGTCTGTTTGTTTGCTGTATGGCACATGATACATTTTTGAAATGACAAATAAATAAATATCTAAGTATCTAGCACTGCCACACATGCAATTTGTTTGAAATAATTGCCCCTCTTTTTTTGTCTTTTAATATTTAGCAGAGTTCTCTGGGTGGCAGAGGGTCTAACTGTCACTGTTGCCTGATTTGTCAAATATTGTTGATGCTGACTGACTTAAAACTGTACTCTACAGTTAAGCCTCAGAAAATGCTTAAATGCCTGTCTCTGTGTTTTCCCTACAGTCCATTGTAAAGAATGGCAAACAGGCAATGGTTCTGTTTTCACTGTCGGTCACCGGCATGAACCAGGGAGTGATGATTTCCAACCGGCAGGGGCGGACCCAGCGCTCCAGCAGCGAAATCCCCGGAGAGGGTGGAAGCCAGGAGGCCGAGCCAAGGAGGAGAAGGTCCAAGCAAGCGGAGGAGAGCAAGGAGGAAAAGAAATGCTGTTCCAAGTGCGTCTGCAAGCCCATTGATGCAGACACCATCGACATCTATGCCAGGGCTGTGTTCCCATTCACTTTCGCTGTGGTGAATGTGATTTACTGGGTGGCGTACACCATGTGAGGAGGAGGCAACAGTTCTATTTGAATGGCTACCATCCAGCGCTGTACATAAGAAACTGCTGGAGCTGTGCCACTTCAATGCTGGCAGACTGGTGCAGCTGACATATACAGAGGCCTCAGTAAAAAAAACTTGAAAAAATGAAGTTATGGCCTATGAATATGGAAATATGGTTAATTAATGGAAGTAGTTATGAGTTTAAAAAGTGTTAACAGGACTTAATATATTTAAATACAAATACAGAAATGGATTTTATAACGGTGAAGGACTGTGTTGCCTGTTGGAGGTTCACATACACAGTGAACGCAGTTTAACCAACAATCTAGATTTCCTGTTAACACTGTTTCCTGTTATGAACTCAACTAAGGACACTACAACAAATGATCCTGCTTGAATACCTGCAGTACTGACGCAAATTACCATAGTTAGCTTAACTAACTCAAAGCCACAATCTGGAGTGAACCGCCTGTTATCTCAAAAAGCAAAAGCGCTTCCCAAACTAGAGGATAACAAGATGAGGTGTACTACTATTCTGCATGGCTGATAACTCTCTCGCCCTCTTCCCCTGCCATCCCCACCCCCTCTCTTCCTCTCTCTCCTTTGGTCCTCCACCCAGTTTTTTTCAATTCATTTTTTTGTTCAGGACACAGCCTGGATTGTCTTATCACCTTCTGCCAGTTTCCTCACAATTAAAGGACTTCCTGCACTACCTGTGTGTGTGTGTGTGTCTCTCTCCTGTCTTCAAATGGTCACTTGAACCTAAAATCCAAATGGTTGTTGGTTGTGATTAAAAGAGTAAAAAGAAAATGCTGAAATCCCTTCTGACAGATGCTTTGTCACTGCAGGATCTCTTTAAAAAATTGACGCAGGGAATATTATTTCAACAAAAAGGCTAAAAAAAGAGGCTTTAATTTGAGGGATTATGAATTATTGACTTACTGTGCTCTATTAATAATTTCAGACTCTTGACTGTCCTTTCTTTGAACTTGGGAATTGATTATAGGAATTATAGGGATAAGAGCACCACTGCTTCCTAGTCCAAGAATTAAATTTTTTCTGTGTTAGATTCAACAACACTGCATTGCCTTTATCATTGCATTATTATGTGTGTTGTTATTACCACAATCTAATTTCTTCTTTTAAGTTCATCCAAATATTGGTGGAAATTAAATCAGAAAATGTTGTATACTGCATCTAAAGCTCTAGAGGAAAGTTCACGGGGTCACCAAAACATTAGAATTCCTTCACTTAATATCCACAATAAACCTTATTGAGACCTGGTTAGCTCAGGATAGCTTGTCAGGGATCAAATTGATGGTCAAAGGAAAATCCTGACCTGAAAGTGGGATATATATATATAGTGAACGCCAGGGACTCAGCACAGTATTAGGATTTATCCACTGTGGACAATGAATGTCCCAATGAGTGCCTGATCAACCTTAATAAGAGGTCCTTATTAAAAATGTTTGTGTTACTTATGTAAAACAATTAATATATGCAAATATATTGTTAAAAGATTGTTTTTTACTCTCAAATGTCAAAATTCCACTATTGATCAGGGTTTATTCCATACATTGTAGTCAGGCATTGCTGACATTGGATAATTCAGCAAAATGCAGAAATAATTTTAATGATAACTTTTTTGAATGTTTTTAAATTATTATTTTTTACGCAAAGATGGTTGGTTACTGTTGTACTGTTTTGTGCGATACCCAAAGAGTTCACTACTTTGTGCACTGAAGTTAACTGCTATAGAATCATCCAATATAATTCTTGAAGATATTGGACTAAATATTCATACAGAAAATGAATAGAAATCTGGCCTGCTGCTGATATCTCTGTCTCTTCACTAAGCTGTCGGATAGACAACCAGCCAAACGACTGACAGACAGAAAGTTAGTTCAGACTAGTTGTGAAGTGAATTTCTCCTAACATTTTCATTATTTGTGTGAATTTGACTGTGTTTCAGTCTCAAGAAAAATGATGAAGTTTATGCTCAAATTCACATATTTTCAGCTCTCACTGACAATTACCTGTCTGTTTATGTCCAGTTACATCTTATCATTGACTTTATATTCAATCATGTTGTCTCTAAAACATACCTCTAATTCAGTCACACCTTAAGGCTGCTATAAGCAATATTTTTTATATTAAAGGATCAAATGAGTATCATCAAAAGTGTCGCTCATAGTGACAAATCCATAGAGAAATATACCCCTGACACTGCTGTCCCTCTTTGCTCCATGGAGCTTAATACTGTAGCGCCTTTCAGCTCATTGTTTTGGTTTTACTGCTCACAAGGTTAGTTTGTGGTTCACTCTCGCTCCTGTCGTCAACCTTGTTACTAGACACAACAGGCAGCTGTTAAACACCAAAAACACTACACTACCTGCCAAGCACCAAAGGGCAGACAGACATTTAGTGACTAGCTAGTGAACATATGCCCTAGCTCCATTTAGCAGCAAAAGAGACATATCTTACGAACGAGCTGCATGGTGCGGAATAAAACAGAGCTAAAAGCAGAGTGAATATTACACTTTCATTTATCAGCTGTAGAGAAATACAGCTCCAAATACATGCTCATTGTTTTCTGCGTAAATTGCTCCATTGCTTACAGTTCGTTTCCACTGCCCCCAAGTGGCCAAATAATAATTCGGTAATGCAGGTTTATGGCCTCATTGGTAGAGAGGCAAAATTACCACCAAATATCTACCCATTGTTTAGAATTTACATAATGATCAAATAAATTTAAACATCAGTCAACTGCCTTTGTTCCACTTTAACGGTTTAGTGGATTAACATTCCTGGACAGCATCAACCCACGCAGCATCCTCAATCCAATGCAATAGTTGTAATATACCCATACACTCATGTAGTAAATGCTCAGGGGGCCATCAGCATCTCCATTCCCTCTTGCTGCTCCATACTTTCGTGTGTGCGCAGGCCAGGGAACGAGGCTGTTATCAGGGCAAGCAGTGCAGAGGCAGAGCAGGCATGGGTGGGAGTAGGGCAGGGCTGGGTGCTCCCTGAACAGGGAGAGCGGCAGGCTGGCTTCTCCCAGAGAGATAACTTTGTTCTGGGCAATGAGAGATGACATCATGACGGATGGCGATGAAGATGTGGGCGCAGGGGGCAGGAAACGTTATCTCCTACAATGGCACCGAGGGGACGGAGACACTCACACATACACATGTGGAGCGCACTATCATTCACTGATACTCTACTCCAGTTGAACAGTCCCCATTGAAAACATATACACACAGGAACACAAACGCACACACACATACACATCTCTGACATGCCTGATCATCCAGTGGGTCTAGGTGGTGGCTGTCATTTAAAAGACAAAGCCAGACAGCTACAGACTCGGTCACTGTGTGTCACTGTTCTTGTATTATCATTTGCTACTGCACAGCGTCTGAGAAAACGTTTGGGACATAAACTAAAGAAACTGATCTCAATCAATCTCAGCGAGGATTCCAGCTTTTACAGGAGGTTTGTACTGCATGGAACTGCACCCCGCATATTGCATGACTCCTGTTCAAGGCATATTACAGTAGTATTCACAATAACAGAACACAACACTCGGACCATTCTTGACACAGAAGATAACAGTTATTAAGCGACCGGAGTTGGATTAATGTCTAATTTAATTCAATGTCACAAACACTCATAGAAAACTTATTTGCATCAGCAGGTACATGATTAAGACTAAGGCTTTCATGTTGGACTGACTAGCTGTGACTAATAGATTAATTTATGGTAATATAGCTTTTACTAATGCTCTCAGACCCCTCAAATGCGCTGCCAGACCACTTACCATTTACAACTACAGACCAGATGGATTCTTGGGAAAAAAAACACTTGTTGATGACTTACTAACTTTTGTTGTTGGTTTATTTGAAAGTGAGAGTCCTGTGAGTCTTTATTAGTGACTTACTGACATTTCAGCTCTATATTTAGTGAATGCTCTGTTGTGGGTTGAAAACCTGTCTCCCAGTTATTACGTTTATTACATTTGCAATAGTAAATATATTTTGAAGGAAACGTAATGCTGACCGGATTACCTTCTCCAGTGACATGATGAGTAAATGTTGTTAATTAATATATGTATTTGGCAAAAAGGTTCATCCTGAATGTATCCGTGTTCAATAACAACGCATTTCATTTCTTTTCCTCCCAAAATATCCAGTCTCACAACATCTGCTACAGCATAATTAAACTTTTTTTCATTGTGGAAAGTCACTGGTGGTATTTGCTTATGGAAAGATTTTGGTCTGATTTATTACAGAAAATGTTTGCAGTGACTTGAAGCACATTGTGTGTTTATTAACAGTGAACAGAAACAGTCTTTCCCTAACAGTAACACCAAAGGGGCTTTGTTAACCACAGATAGGACTCATGATGCAAACCATGGTCTCTCGTGCACTTCAGTACATAGAAGCTTATAAAGCCACCAATCATAAACCCTTCATATACGTTGACAGGGTAGAACCAAGCAGGAAACATGGGGAATGAGAGAGGGATATGACTTGCAAAAAAAGTCCCTACCTTCTATATGGTATGCAACCTGGATGCCTCCAATTCGGCATCACTTTCAAGTCATCAAGTCATTGCAATAATCCACAGAGATCCAGAGATCAGATTTAAGCAAACCTCCTAGAGTCCTTTAATATAGCTGCAGACCAGTTTCTCTAACTTTTGCTTACTAATCACTTCTTGCTATGAATTCCCACAAAGCTCAGAAGCTTTTATCCTGCTCACTAATTGCCAGCGAGGACGTTTGAGCTCTGACTTCATGCAATAGTTATTGATAATGAAAGCTGAACTGGGGGTATGATGTGTAATGATGCATACACTGAGTTTTCACAAATGTTTCATGGTTGGTATGTTTTTTTGCAGTCTGACGGTGACTATTCTGTGTGAGTTTCTTCCTTAAATTTATTGCAAAATGCAAACAAATTGAAGGGGCCATTGGCACTTGCCCATTTTTTACTGAGCAAAAGCCTTTACTGTTGGATATTAAGTTTGTTGCAGTAATGAAATAGCAAAACTAGGTTCAAAATACCATAAAGGGCTTTATTGTTGCAACTTTTGAGACATTGTAAACACAAGTTTGAAGTATAAAGGAGTTCTCACTTAAATGCGCTTTATCTCTCTCTCTCTTGTGAATTATATACTTGGTGTTTCATTTTTAAAATTCTTGTCACACAATTTTATACTTATTGACAGATCTTCTTTGGCCATTCCTTTGTATAATTTTTGAACGTTTTGCCGAAATACCAAACCAGCTTTCATCAACCTTGCAAGAATGACCTGTTGAAAAGCAAATATGGCACACAAATTCGGTTTTAATCATTTAATATTTTGTCCAACTACATGATATTAAATCAGTAGACATCAGTTGTTCAGTCAATATCAAGACTTAACAAGGCCTAGCGATCTAGTAAAGAGTTTTACACAGTAAATTAAAGAAATAGGAACATCTAGCTATGTACTGGTAGGTAAACCCACCTAAACTTAGTTTGCAACCTTATTTTAATTTTAAAAACAAATTCCCATCAATTATAGCAAGTTACAGTGAGTCTCATAAAACCTAATAATACAAAACTATCTCCTGTACAGGTTTCCGTGAGGCACAATGTGTCGGCTCCTGAACGTCCTGCTGGCTTCGCTGAGTCGTTTCCTGTTTGCAGTCCACGGGGTGGT